AGATCACCAGTCACTCCTCAGAAATCCAATATGGGGTTGCTATGGGTTGGAACTGACTCAACAGCACTTAACAACAACAACAATGAAATAATGGATATAGATAATAAGCATCAGTGGCTACTAACATCACATAAGTGCCTTCTCATTGAATATCATAACACCAACTATGAAGTATTTTTTAACTTATTTATAAACTTTTAACTATAGTTTGGGTAAAAATTTACAAAAAACTTAGTTTTCCATTCAACAATTTATACACGTTGTTCTTCATGACATTAGCTATAATTTCCTCAGTGTAATAAATTGCACTCTTCCCACTTTCTCCAGTGATCTTTTCCTTTGCCTTTTGAGTACATGCTAACATTTTGGTCTTATATGGTTGATTATACTGAGTTCATCCTAGATTTTATGGTTCACTTTGTAGGCCTGTCTATTATTTTGCTGGAGTCCTGGTGTGGCACTGTGGGATAAAGCACTGGACTACAAAATTGGTTGGAATCACAAGGTCAGTGGTTCAAATTCAACAGCCACTCCTTGGAAACCCTATACAGGGTTGCCAAGTCGGAACCAATTTGATGGCACTTAACAACAACAACAACAACAATTATTCGGTTGAAAGCTTATTCTGGTGATAGATTCAATTCCAGGTTTGAGGATTGTCTAAGGGTCACAGAAGTGGGGATTACTCCAGTATCTATCAGACCAATAAGTTTGGTCTTTTTTTATATTAAATTTTGTTCTACTCCCCCCACCCCCTCTATTCAGGATCTTCTATATTGTGATCCTGTTCAGAGCAGTTGGTAGTGGTAGCTGGGCACCATCTAGCTCTTCTGGTCTCAGTGTAAGAGGGCTATGCTTTATGTGGTCCATTAGTCCTTTGATTTTCTTCCTTTTTTGCTCCAGATGGTGAGAAACAGACCATTAGTTGAACTATGAAGTATTCTTGCCTGAGAAATACTGAATCCAAACCTGACCAAACAGTAAAATGCAATTTATAAAAATCATGAGATTCTTGCAAACATAACATTGACAGGATATTTTATCATATTAAGTAATTAATATGATAATGCGAGTCCTGGTGTGGCACTGTAGGATACACTCGACCACAAGGTCAGTTTGAGCTGCAAGATCAATGGTTCAAACTTACCAGCTGTTCCTTGGAAACCCTTTACAGGGTCACTATGGGTTGAAACTGACTTGATGGTACTTAACAAGAACAACAATATGGTAATAGCATTATGTTTATTACTGTAATAATATAATTATTGTTGTGCAAAAATAAGGTACATACTGAAAATATTTACAGTTGAATGATAAGATGTCTGGGATTCTCTTCAAAATAATACAAGCAGGAGTATGCGGTAGAGACGAAACAATTCAGGCTCTGGGTATGTGATAGTTCATTATATTATTAGGTTTCCCTGTGTATATGTTTGAAATTTTCCATATTAATTTTTTGTTTTTGTTTTTAATTGTCTGGCATATTCCCACCACAAAACATCCACAGTTAACATTTTAATGTGCATTTTTCTAATATTTTTCCAGAAGAATATCTTTGTTACAATAATATATAGAGTATATGGAGTCCTGGTGTGGCTCTGTAGAATAAAACACTGGACCAGAGGGTCGGTTTGAACCACAAGGTCAGTTGAACATATAGTATACATTTCATATTTTATGAAATCATGACATGATAATACCATTCTGCAACTTTTGTTTCACACTAAACAATGTTTTAATGTTAGTAAATATAGACTTAAATCATTTTTATTCACTAGTACCATGACTGTTTTAAAACTGTTTCTCAACTTTTGGACAGTTGAGTCATTTCCTATTTTTCACTGTCATGAATAATGTTACCATAAACCAATTTACGCAATGCAAACTGATACAAGCAAGAACTCGGGAGCAAGGGCTGACTGGTTCTAAGGATACATATTTAGTGCTTTTGATATACAAGGGCTCATATCCTGGAATATGATGAGATGAGGATTCCTGATTCTGACTCATAATGACCCTATTTTCTGAAGAGTGGCTGGTAGGTTTGTACCACTGACTTTGTGGTTAGTAGTCCAGTGCCACACCAGAATTCTCTTAACATAGCTTTCCATTGCAAGGTGAGCTTGAACCGCTGATGTTGCAGTTCAAATAGACTTTGAAGCCCAGCACATTAATCCACACAGAGTAGCTCCATGTAAATAGCAACAAAATTTTTGTGTTTTCGTATACTATATAAACCATAAGTATCTCAAATGAAGACGTTATGAAGGAGGGAGACAGGGCTGAGCTGAACCAGGGATGAATTAAGGTTTGCATAAAGAAAGCAAGGAGCATCAGAGTATAGGACCAGAATGAGCAAATTCACCATGGAAGGAAAAGGACAAAACATGCTAAGGAGCAAACACTGAAAGCATAGTTCAGTTACCCTGACTTTAAAGTTATTATATATAGATATAGGCAGACAGAGTTGTTGTTTGTTGTTAAGTGCCATTCAGTTGATTCTAACACACAGCGACCCTGTATAGGGTTTCTGAGGAGTGGCTGGTCAGTTTGAACCCCTAGCCTTGAGGTCCAGTGCTTATCCTATAGTGCCACACCAGAACTCTGGCAGACAGAGTTGTTGTTAAGTGCCGTTGAGTCAGTTCTGACCCATAACGACACTGTATAGGGCTTCCAAGGAGTGGCTGGTGAGCTTAAACCATTGACCTTGCGGTTCAAATTGACTTTACAGCCCAGTGCATTAATCCACAGCACTACACCAGAACTCTGGCAGACAGAGTAGCTCCAAAATCTTTGTGTTACCATATGAAGAAAATTAATACACAAATACCTTGACCAATAATTTTTCTTCATATATTGATAACTCTTAAAAGGAAACCTTTAATGTTCAAATTAAAGGTATAAGAAACCAAGAAAGAAACAGATAAAACCTGGAGTAGAAATTTATGGACAAGAATTAACTATATGCAGTGGGGAAAAGTAAGTGCCAAAGTCTGATTTAAAAAAAAAAGTGTATGTAGCAGAATACCATCAAAAGATATGTTATATGAGGATCTTCCCAAATAGAGCTGCACTTAAATCTTTTGCAGGGTAGTTTTAGTGTTGAGAACCAAATATTTTTGGTAAACAATTTCCTGTTAGCAAATATATTAGCTCATGTTCAAAACACATAGTTGTATCATTTCTGGTTTATAAGAAGATTCTCAAAATGTGAAAGAGAAACACTGGCCTCTTCATCCAAGTCAGCATCAATTTGTTTAGGTACATGTTTTAAAAGGGCTTTCATTCTCAGTATTCACTCTTGACTTTTCATTGCATCTTTTCTCCCAGGCACATGTATCTCTGGCATATTGCTTTGGGGGAAATGGGTGTCAGCAATATCTAGTTCTATTTTAAGTCCGAGGAGGAGCACATGCAATACAAGTAGGAATAAGGAAAAGAAAAAGAAGTGAACTGTCTGCTAAAATATAGCTAGGTGTATTTGGTATTGTGTTTTAAGTTAACCTTCTATTTATCCCATTTTGGAGAGCTTCAAACAAAGTAGTACAGAAGAGAGACCTTACAAGTGTTTGGATAGACAGTTGGCCATGGGCTGTATTCACTGGCTTTCTTATAGCAATCATGAATAAAGTAAAACAAAACAGAAATCAACTATGTTTTATTTAACCTGGAAGGTGAGAGGATAAGGTGATCCAAATACTTTGAGCCATAATTACCCAGGTGCTTTAAGCAAAAATACTTTTTTTCCAAATCCAGCAGACCACCAAGATTAGAGCAGAAGCTGAGGAATGAGTTATTTCCATGTTCCATCACTTTGAGATATAGACCACACAGACAGGAATAAGTTTATACTGGTTAAATCCTCTCAAGAAATGATCTTCATGTTTAGATATGAAGCTTAGAGATTCCCAAATTCCTATATGTCTGCAGTGTGGCGCATGGCAAATCTGAGCTTCCATCTCCAATACATTCTCCTTCAGCCAAAATAAACAAACAAAAGAGTTTCCCTGTTGAGGACTAAAGTAATAAAACCAAACCAGTGCAATGAGAAAGGCTTGCTATCTGGCTCTGAGAGCCCGCCAACAATGATCTCAGGTAGCAGAAAGATCAAACTGGAATTGTCTGGAGCCAAGAGATTAGAAAACAACTGCTATTTAGGGCCTCAGTTTTTGCTAGGATGCTGAACCCTAACACTTACCTAACCACATTTTGCAACATTCTAAAGTATGCCCTGACTGGGATTTCTTGAGGGCTCAGTCCCAGAACATCATAATTGGAGAGCAATTAAAGGTGAAATTTGGTTCTTTTGAAGCCTCAGAGGCTGCAAAGAGATGAGTTACTGAAGTCATCAACTGGGAGCCAGTTCTCTGATAAAGACTTCTTGTATGGCACCAGCATAAAGAAGAAGCTGAAGCACAACATGGTCCAGAACTAAGAAGGGCTCCCACTGTCCACTGACCAGAAACCAGCTGCTATGGAGTCAATTCTGACCCATGGTGACCTCATGTGCATCAGAATAGACTGTGTAGTTAGCAGTGTAGTGTTTATCTTAAAGCGCCACATCAGGACTCCATAGAATGCATACTTTTATAATTAAAATAATTTTTATTCAGTAACAGGGTTACTTCATTTTTAATTTATAACACATAGAATCATCTAATTAACTCAGAATTATGAACATTTATAACAGTGAGGCACAACAGAGACCAGTATTGTTGTTTGCTGTTTAGTACCATCAAATCCATTCATAGCAACCCTATATCGTTTCCAAGGTGTAGCTGGTGGGTATGTATCACCTACCTTGTGGTTAGCAGTCCAGTACTGACCCTACAGCACCACACCAGGACTCCATTAAGTAAAAAGTTGTAGATTTTATATCCATGGCATCAGACAAATTCACATTGAGAAAAAGTTATGTTTCAGAACACTATGTTTTAATTCTTGGACTCCAAGAGTATAAAAATACATGCTAAGCTGAAAAAACAATTTCAGGTACTCACTGATTCCTTGAAAAAGCTCCTCAATATTAATAGCATTCTTTGCACTTGTCTCCACCACGATGGCACCTATGGATTCCGCGTACTCCTTAGCATCCTTCAAGGGAACCTCTCTGAAAAAGAGGTCAAACCCTTACAGATATGAATGCTCCTTTGAAAAATACAAAAATTGAAGAAAACTGAGTAATAAAACCCTGGGAAAACAGTTTCTTCAATGTTCTTATAAAATAATACCAACTCAATCACTCAGCAAATATTGACAGTCTAGTATAGGTGAGGACTCCTGGTATGGTGTTGTAGGATCAGCACTGGACTGCAAATCACAAGGTCATAGTTCAAACCCAGCAGCTGTTCCTCAGAAACCCTATACAGAGTTACTATGAGTCAGAACTGACTCAACGGCATTTAACAACAGTATAGGTGAGACATTTTAACATTTGAAACCTCCATGGAAATAAAACATGCATATACAAAACAGAGTTCCCTGGTACCACAGAAGGAGGATTGCAAATCAGGAGGAAAAATAATGAGTATGACATTACACACTTTTCACAGGGTTTATTCCCCACCACCCCCATGATAACGCAATGTAAAAAACAAAACAAAACCTGTTTTTAGTGTGTGCTTTTATAAGACTTTTAATACATTATCTTTCACAAATCTGAGAAAATACCGTGACAGATGATGCAACATGACTTGGAGGTTTGGAAATATGTATAATTGCAGCTATACACTGATACACTATGACACACCTGGACTTTCACCTTTGACACATATTATTCCTGTAAGATTTTAGGACATAAACTCTATTTAAACAAACAATGTCAAAAACTATTTATTCATAATTTTGATTGTGAAGATACTGTAGTGGATCTAAAGAAAAAAACAATAGCTCCTATTCTTCAGAGGTAGCACAGTGGCTCTTTATGATAAGTACTGAATTACTAACCATAGGTCAGTGGTTTGAGCCCACCAGCTGATCTGTGGGAGAAAGATGAGGCTTTCTGCTCACACAAGGATGTGCAGCATAGGAAGCCATAAACAGAGTAGTTATGAGTTGGAATTGACTTAATTGCCCCTAACAACAACAACATTATTCAGAAGTTTATTCATTTATTCACGTCTTTATTGAGCCGCTATTGCATGCCAATCCCTTTTGCAGGTATATGGAAAACCAATGGTCCCCATCTTTGGAAACCTACATTTTAGAGTAAAGACAAACACACCCATGGTCATTCTTATCCATAACATTGCAATATCTGCAATGTTTGAATACTATAGTGCTTCAGGAGTTGGGGGAGGGTGGTTAGAAAAGTGATGCACTTTGACCAGTGTGGCCCAGAAAGACCCCCTGGAAAAGGTAAACTTAAGTGTGATCACATAAAATAGAACATGGACAAGAAACTGTGATGGAAGGGTGTTCAACACAAGGGAATAAGCCTGATTAAAACTTTTATTCTCAGTTAATATTAAACATTGATTCTGCACCAGATACTGCCTTGGGTATTACAGGTGGATGTTAAAATGAATGTGATGCCCTCCTCTAAGACTGAAACTCAAAGGGAACAAATGAACAGACATGTAAGCTTGCTGGCAACCACATTGGTCTACTGGTGAGTAGAAGAGGAGGATAGGCAGCAATGAAGAAATGAGCTGAGTTCAACCATGTTCCATAGACTCCTGTTGACCTGGAGATGACAGAGAGAAGAGGAAGGGCTGGTTGGTCCAAAGTATGGGGAAACCTGAGCCTACGGACATAAGTCACAGAGGGCTAGAGCTGAGAGTGAAGTATCCAGCTGATATGAAGTGAGGGGAGATGCACAAGAACATCCAAACTTGCATATCATACTCATTTGACCTAGCATCAATGGCTTGATAATCAGAACTCGACTAGAGGAAGATAAAAACAAACAAAAAAAAGAACAAAACAATTTTTGATGAAAGAAATGCATGTAAATTGCTACAATTTGACGAACTTGACCTATACTAATGCAGGTAGTAACGCTGAATATCAACAGAGAGGGAAGGAGTCTTCACATCAAGTATCAATGCTATCCCCCCTCTGTACACAGGATAAATAGGGATGGGCAACTTAGACCTTGGCTACCTAAAATGAGGGGGTGATAAAGGCATGAAGTGACTGGCTTACAAGGTTTCAAGGGGGGAGTTTAGTTTAAGAGTGTGTTGGGGAAGAAAGAGTCCCTACTGAATAGTTTTCATTTTGTCTAGATGGGTCTGGTTAAAAGAGATGGGGATAAGATTCTTATGATTCAACAGTGAGTAATTGTTATCATGACTAATTGCAACTGTCACAATTGTAAAGACAGAAGTTTTGTAACAAAAATATGAGAGTGGTTAATCTTACAGTCTAGAAACAAAGGACCCTGGGATCATCAATGGAGAAAAGCACAAGTGGAATGCAAGACTTTATCCAGAGAAGTAGCGACACCAAAGATGGAGGCAGAGATGGAAAGAGGAGCAGCTAAGGACTCTAGATTCATGGGAAGAGAGGGACTAAGAGCTGGTGGCCAGGAGGCAGACTTGCAGAATGTTCTCTTTGGTGGTGTAAATTATTATATATTCCTGAGTGTTAAAAAAAAAAAAAAAAGCTAAAGTGAATAGAGAGAAATATTGTTAGCTGATGGTACATGGAGGGGATTATAATTATTGTAATGACACAAGGTGTATGCTTTGTTGAATGCAAAACTGATGATCTGTCCTGTAAACTTTCATTCAATCCACAATAAAAACGTTTTAAAAAATGTTTGAATGGAGGGAAGGTCAGCATGGAGCTCACAGAGGGAGGGTCTACTGGAATAGTAGGAAATGGTAGGACACAGAAAGCCTGTCTTGTATCCAGGGGCCACTGAAGAACCAAAGAGTGACAGGGTGAGCTCCACAGTCAAGGAAGACACACTACACAAAACAGACTAAATAGGGATATGGGTGAAAAAGTGAGGAGCTTGAAAGCTCTTCTAATGCTATAGGCAAAAAATAAGAAAATTATGGACCAGGAAAATTAAACAAAACCCATTGCTGTTGAGTTAATTCTAATTCAAGGCAACCTCGTGTATTAAAGTATGCTCCATATGGGGTTTTGTGGCTATAATCTTCATGGAAGTGGATCACCAGGCTTTTCTTCCACAGCACTGCTGGGTAGGTTTGCACCACCAACCTTTTAGGTTAGTTGCTGTTAGATGCCATCGAGTTGGTTCCACTTATAGTGATCCTATGCACAACAGAACAAAACACTACACCGTCGTGCGCCAATCGTTTAGAATTTTCCATTTTTTCTCTGACCCTCCACTATGACAAACATGATATCCCTCTCCAGGGGCTGGCATCTCCTGATACGTCCAAAGTATGAGAGAAGAAGTCTGGCCATCTTGGCTTACAAGAAGCATTCTGACTGTACTTCTTCCAACATAGATTGGTTTGGTCTTCTGGTGGTTCACACCCAATATTGTCCTCCAACACCATAACTCAAATGCATCAATTCTTCTATGGTCTTCCTTATTCATTGTCCAACTTTCACATGCATATGAGGTCATTGAAAATACCATGGCTTGGTTCAGGAGCATCTTAATTCTCAAACTAACATCTTTGCTCTTAAGCAGTGGTCTCTCTGATCTTCATCAGTATTTTAAGTCCTCTTCATTTTAAGCAAGGAAGGTTGTATTATCTACACACCACAGTTTATTAATGAGTCTTCCTCCAATTCTGATGCCTTGTTCTTCTTGGTATAATTCAGCTTCTCAAATTATTTGCTCAGCATACAGATTGAGTAAGTATGGTGAAAGAACACAGCCCTGGCACATACTTTTCCTGATTTTAAATTAGAACAAGTGCATGAGAGTCAAAATATGACCTTGAAAACATCCCACCTAAATTTAAAGATCATTTCAAGAACAGATTTGATGCATTAGACACTAATAACAGAAGAATTGTGAAATGACATGAAGAACAATATACAGGAAGAAAGCAAATGACATTAAGAAAACTAGAAAGAAGGAAAAGGCCAAAATAGGTGTCAGAAGAGACTCTGAAACTTGCACTGTAGCATAGAGATGTTAAAGCAAATGGTATTAATAAGGAAGTAAAAGAGCTGAACGCAAAATTTCAAAGGGCAGCTCAAGAAGGCAAAGTCATCTATTAAAATGAAACGTTCCCCTAGAAACAAATGAGAATGAAAATACAACATACAGCAAAAGCAGTAAAGAGAGGACAATTTATTGCATTAAATGCACATATCTAAAAAGAAGAAAGAACCAAAACCAACATATTAACACACTATCTCAAACAATTAGAAAAAGACAAGCAAAGTAAATCTGCAGTCACTAGAAGAAAATAAACAATAAAGATTAGAATAGAAATAAATGAAATAGAAAGCAAATAAACAAAAATATATAGAAGGAATCCATAAGACAAGAAGCTGGTTCTTTGAAAGGATTAATAAAATTGACAAATCATTGGCAAAACTAACAAAAGAAAAGAGGGAGAATATTGAAAGTACCATGGACTGCTAGAAGAACAAATGAATCTGTGTTGGATGACGTATAATCAAAGTGTTCCTTAGAAGCCAGGATGGTGAGATTTCATCTCTCATACTTCAGAAATATTCTCAAGAGGGACTAGTGCTTGGAGAAGGACATCATGGTTGGAAAAGTGGAGGTTCAGCAAAAAAGAGAAAGCCTTCCAAGAAGATAGATTCACACAGTGGCAGCAGCAATGGGCTCAAAGGTAATGAAGAATGTGAGAATAGTGCAGGACTGGGTAGTGTTTTGTTCTGCTGTGCATTGAGTACCTATGAGTAGGAACCTAACAACAACACCACCACCCTTTGTTTTTGTTTCCAAATTTCACATTCCAATCACCAGTAATTATCAATGTATCTTGTTTGCATGTTTGATCAATTTTAGACAGCAGAAGTTGGTAAAAATCTTTGATTTCTTCAGCTTTGGCTTTAGTGGTATCACTGACAGCACTGTACTTCAGGATACATCTTGAAATGTTCTTTTTGATGATGAAAGCGTCACTATTCTCCTCTTCAACTTGTCATTTCTAGCATAGTAGACCATGATTATCCTATTCAAAACAACCAATACCAGTCCAT